AAACAGTCGCGTTTTTTTCATTAAATTGTCAATAATTAAAAAACAGCTCCAGATTCAAGGCAAGAAACAAGTAGGTTTTTTTCCTAGAGGTCTACAATAACTAAAAAATTTGTTAGCGACCTGGATTATTGAGTGTCACGAACATGGTCTATTTTTTGCTTATTTCCCTGGAGTATATATTTGATTAACATCTGTGTAATTTCTTTGTCGCTTCCTTGCTGGTTTTGCACATTGCTATGATAGCAATATCTTCGGTAAATGTTGCAATTGTATATTTTCTAGGACAATAATACAACACGTATACAAAAGGTAAAGAAACTTCTTTGTGGCAGCCCTGCTGTAATATCTGTCAATTCCATGTATGTTTCTTCCTGTTTAATTCTGAAATATCTTTCCAAGATGCAGGAGTCAATTATTTGAGAGTATCGTTTTGGTAAATGTAGTCTTAGTTTATAGTTTTGGCGTCTTTGCCATACTTTATCATATACCTGAGTCACATCCTAAATTATTGATATAAGGTTGAATGCTCGAATAAATGAACTTTAAAAAATGAAGGCAAATTTCGAGCACAAATTTAATAATCAAATCTTGCCCAAGTACTTTCGCTTTCTACAGCATCATCAGGGTCATCTGCGCTTGCTGGATAGCCCAAATTTGACGAAGTAAGTCTAAAATGTTAATCACAAAAAACTTTTATCATCCATTAACTTCGAGTTTTTTATCGAAGTTTATTAATTTTCTTCATTTAAAAAAAACTTTTCTTGGCTTATTTCAGATGCCCCTGATGATGCTGTAGAAAGCGAAAGTACTTTTGCAAGATTTGATTATTAAATTTGTACTCGATATTTGCCTTAATTTTCAACGTACATCCTAAAACGTCCATCATATTATCCTTCATGATCCATATTTCACATCCATATAAATAGTTATACAGTATATTTCATCATCATCATCATCATCAATGGCGCTACAACTCTTCGTAAGTCTTTGCCGCGGTTACTATTGCCTTCCATGTTTGTCGGTCCTGTGCCAGTAATTTCCATTGTCGCACTCCCATTTTCTCTAGATCTAGGAGTATATTTACATATAACAAATTAAATTCTTAGTTGTAAATTTTTGAAATAAGTACTCAGTATGCATCTAAGTTTCATTAATGCTCCTCATAAATCTCATAAATCTAAACTTTTGTACTCCGTTCTTTATCGACAATTAGTTGCATAGGGCCGACGTTTACTAACCACAAGCACACAAGTAAATTATCTTATTTCTTTCATTTGAAAATAATAATTGTCTGTTAGATTAGCATTGTAAGAAGTAAATTAGCCTCTTACTGAATGATAATAAACAACACATCAAACTTATTCTGAAACTATTTCTTGTGTCATGGTATATTTTATTAGATTTTGGTGTACTAAATCACAACCTATCAAATTCAATATCAAAATTGGAAATGATAGCGTAATTAAATTATTCCTTCCTTCAAGAAATTTTAAAAAGAACTGATTTCTATTACTAGAATTATGTCTAATGTTTCTGAAGAAACATTAGACATAATTCTATATTTATATCGTTTCATTTTATCAATTTTAATGATCGCGATACTAATCAAATTTTTATGATATATAATAATAATCTTTTCCGCAAATCGCCAGGAAATTTTGACATTCCTGTCAAAATTTCTTGAAGAAAAAGTCAGGACTTCCTTACTGTAAGGAAATGTCATTTCCTTACTGTAAGGAAATGATATTTCCGTACAGTTGTTAGTGTTAACCAGCAATTAAATTTATAAGCGTCAAGTTGACAATTCAACCTCAATACGTTTCCATAGTAACCCAAGTAATTTTATTAGGAATTTCAAAGCACCATTTATTTGGGAATAAAATTATCGCGTTTTTTTTAAATCAATCAATATCTGTCGAATTTTAAACGATTTGCGGAAAAATAGTATGTTTACCTCGTAGGAAAAGCCACATTCCTGGACTCTGTATTGCTAAGTCTCGGCTTGCGCCTCGACTTAGCTATCTTCACAGTCGTCCAGGAATGTTAAGCTTTTCCTACCCGGTAAACAATGTACTATTTTTTTATAATTTTTATTTTCCGTAAACTTAAATCTATGTTAAACTTCAGACAGCCAATTTTTCCGTAAAAAAAATAACAAATAAATTATGTATGTACATTTGTTACATTGTAAATTTATGAATAGATTATATTACTTTGATCTGTTATTATATTTACTTAAAAGACCACTAAAGAGATTTATGGTCTGATTGTAAGCCAAAACCTGTCACTGCAGGGGTTGTCTCGGTGTATAATCGGCTCGAGTAAAAGGTAAACGCATTTTTGACCTGGGCTTGAGAGAGATACGAAGTTTAGAATATTACTTCATGACAGATTTGTTTTCGTAAAGAAAGAAATTTTTGAAATAGAGATAGCAAACTGAAATTTACCGTTAGGGTTATCGAGGATGAGCCTTAAATCTAAATTGCTAAGTGACTAAAACATGTGCAACTATTTGATGACCTGTTATGAAATATGTATAAACTGTGTGATAGTTCTTGGACAATATTTAAATGCTAAATGTTTCTATTAGTTATGGTTTTTATTTGATTGTTACAGAACATGTAAAAAAATATATTATATTTTTTTTCTCTTGCTTAAGATGAAAAGCAGAGGTACTGATTTCTTGAAATCACCACCACCTGATCTTCGGCATTTTTTTCTTTCTTATTAAATTATATGCATGTATAATTCTATATATTTTGTGTTTTGTATGAATTTGAAGGAAAAATAAAGACCTTTATTATCCCAGATTTAGCCATACGGCTCACACTCCCTCTAAGGGGAAAATTCACTCATCCCAGATACCTATGGTATCAAAAGGATTGAGCTCTGGTGGGACTCTTTCCGTGTTGTCGAGCCCTAGGTGACTTGGTATGTCGGAGTATCTCCCAGAAATTTTCGTACACACCTGGAGGTCGCGAGGAGTACAGCTTTCTGCATGGCCTTATAAAGATGTTCATTTAGACCCAGCTGTTTTATGTTCGCTAGGAGGTTTTTGGGAATAACACCAGTAGTAGATAGAACAATAGGTACTGTCTGGGTACTTTCTATTCTCCATTGTCTCTTGATTTGTATTTCCAGATCTCTATACTTGGCGATCTTTTCGTTGTATTTAACAAGCAAATTGTTAGTGTTAGGTATCGCCACATCAATAAGTGTTGTTTGCCTGGTAATTTTATTCACTAGTATGAGATCCGGTCTATTATGGGCCACTGGTTGGTCTGTGAGTACAGTGCGGTCCCAGTATAGCTTGTAGTTGTCATTTTCAAGCATTCTGTCAGGGACATATTGATAATAAGGAAGATGGTCGGTTTGGAGAAGTCCCAGTTTGTCAGCTAGTTCTTGGTGGATAATCTTTCCTACTGAGTCATGGCGTTCTTTATAATCAGTACCGACAAATGCCTGGCAGCCACCGGTAAGATGTTGGATGGTTTCTTGGGCTTGGCATCCATATCGGCATTTGTCATTTTGGACTTGAGGATCTTTAACAATATATTTCAGGTAATTTTTAGTTGGAATAACCTGATCCTGAATGGCAAGTAGGAAACCTTCAGTCTCGGAAACATCTTTCCTGATGTCAACCAATAGTTCGACGCTGTATTGTTGACATATTCTTGGTTGATCTCATTGAGATGTCGCCCATGCAGAGGTTTACTCATCCAGGTGCGCATTTTTTTCTTGCTTAGTCAGATGGTTTGTGCGCATTTCTTGTTCCCTCAGTTTAAGCAGCGTTGTGTCATCTACTACATAATTCTATATATTTTGTGTTTTGTATGAATTTGAAGGAAAAATAAAGACCTTTATTATTATTATTATTATTATTATTAATAGTATAAAGTGTGTGGTTGTTGTTGTCATCCATTTCTGTGTTAAAGCCTAATTGATACTGTGGTAGAATGTTAATGTTTTTCACATACCACTCTATCCTGTTTGTATACTTACAAGGATTTTAGATTAACAGAAAACAAAATCTGTTTAAGGGTATACTACACAAGGGGAAACAAGAGGTAATACCACAGCTGATAATTAATTGTATTTATGAAGTCACACTTTCACAGTCTATTGATTTATAATTTTTTTTATATCTTTTTTATCTTTTATACAGTGTTTTGCATAAAGTGTGCATTATAGTGTAGTGCAATGAATGTTGTCTTATTTTTTATGTAATGTAAAGCTTTGTTAAGTCTGTTAAGTTTGTTAAGTTTGTTAAGTTAAGTTTGTTAAGTCTTAAGCAACCGCAACCTAAGCATTAACCTCCGATGGCGCGCCACAAAATGCTACGTACTCTCTACGCTACTTTACGACGTAGAAGGGTGGACGTTAACAGCAACAACTATAAAGAAGTTAGCGGCTCTAGAAATGTGGCTGTATCGACGCATACTGAGAATACCTTGGACAGAGTGACCAACACAGAGGTATTAAGACGAATGGGTAAAGAGGTGGAATTGTTAACAACTGTTAAAAGGAGGAAAGCGTCATACCTGGGCCATGTGTTCCGTAATGATAAGTACAGTCTGCTACAGCTTTTCGTGGAAGGCAAGATTGAAGGTAGAAGAGGTTTGGGCAGAAAGAAGAAATCCTGGCTGAGAAACTTGAGAGAATGGTTTCAAATACCAGAAGCTGCGAACATAATTCATGCGGCACAAAACAGAGAAACCTATCGTATGATGGTCGCCAACCTTCGGTAGAAGACGGCACATAAAGAAAGAAAGGTTTGTTTAAAATTTAAGGATAGATTTTTAACTATGGGTTAATACTGGACCTGAATTTAAATTTCTCGCTCCCAGATGACTGTCCCTTTTAAGTCTAATTGGAGTCGCAAATAAATCCAAAGGTATAAACAAAATACTGGCAACTGATAAATACAAAAATAAGATAACTATTGTAGCTTCAATTAATTACTGGTGTGTACGTGTGTATAGTATTACCTGATTACTTGCCTCCAACACTCCACAGGGATGCCCAGAGCCCAGACCTAATCCAAAACTTTCCCCTAAATAAATCAAACAAATTTATTTATTTTATAACCATAACCTAACAAACATCATAAAATATGTCAATCAACGACATATTGACATGATGTAACCAGACATTGGCTGTGGAATCTTTTTGCTCGATGGGAAAGATACAGAACACAGAAGAAGAAAAGCTAACTTAATTGCAATTATTTCGACTTTTCATGCTTGTCATTATTGTACCGTGTTGTCTAGCGGATATTTTAGATTCAACAATCTTATTTTATAAAATAATTAGTTAAAATGATGCAAACCGCCAATAATGTATATTATCCCGATTATTCCACTGCTCCAATGCAACGTCAAATTAATCCTTATGCCGACAATGGAGGGTAAGTATATACTTTCTTTAAAATAGTATGTTTAACTTTTATAGATAATGGATTTTCCGGAGTTTTGTTTTAATATTTATCAAAATTATTTTATTTATTACTTCTTTAAATGCCGTTTTTCCAATTGGAGTGGATATCATTATCACTATCTTAGCTCTATCTACCTCTGCTCTAACTGCATCTAAACTAGTTGCTTAAATGTATCAACCCTTACACTCTTTTTCTTTCCATACTCCTTCCTCTTCTTATCTTTACCTGTATTATCAAACTTGGCATTTCAGATCGCTATTTCCTCAGTTTGTATTCGAGATATTGTAACTTACTTATTTTTATTGTGTTCATTATTTCATTTTCAAATCCGTATTATAATATCAAAACATGTCACATCTCAGGAGTTCTTACTCTTAGTGTTAATTTAAGGTCTATTTTTCAGAGAATTGTTTTCATTTTTATAAACACATTTCTTATTATTTCTGTCGTGGCCCTTATTTCTGTTGCTTGATCATTAATTTCTGAAATCCAGGTTCCCATGTATTTGTATTTTTCAATTCTTTCTATTGGTACATCATCAAAATGTATGTTTGTATATTTGTTTTCTTTGTTTTTATCATATATTTAGTCTTTATTATATTCATTTTTAGTCCACAGTTTTGACAGAAACTGTCTTGTTTAGTAGTAGTTGGAGTTGATCAGTAGACTTTGTCATATTCATGGTGTCATCTGCATATCTTATGTTGCTAATAATAGCTCTTCCATTAATTATTATTCCTCCACTTTCAGATAGTAATGCTTCTTTAAAAATGTATTTACTATATACTTACATTGAATAGTAATAGAGACATAATACATCCCTGCGTAACTCATTTCATGATTTCAATTTCTGAACTGGGTTTGTTGTCATATTAGAATTTTGTGCTCTTTGGTTCCAGCATCGAGCAATAAGACAAAAGAGGGAATCTAATCCTTACGAAAAGGAGACCAAAAAAGTGGCCTCTGATGGTGGACATATCCGGAAATGCGAATGCGCCAAATTTAAAATTTCCGACACTTATCAACAGTAGCTATATAATATTTTTCCGAATGTGTCTTAGACGGGAAAGTTTTAATTAATTATTAATGATAAGAGTCTAAAATGCGACACAATTGTTAAAAAACTTCAATATAAATAAGATTTCATGTGACATTTGGGACAAACAATAACATAACCCAACTAAATTTGTCAAACAAGGAGAGAGACTCTCTTTCCTTGTTTAATGTGGCCTCTAAAGATTGCACTTCCTGTCTAACAATATGTTTGCCCCCACTACCTTTACATTCCCTCTTTTGTCTTTTTGCTTGATGGGTTCCAGTAAAGGTTTGTTATTATTCTAAGTCCCTTTTATCTGTAGAATTTGGACTAATTTGTTTTATGTATTACTTTGTCAAATGCTTTTTCAAAATCAACATAACAAACATGCACATTGACATTCATATACTTACATCTTTGAGCTATCACATTAAAGGCAAATAATGCCTATCTGGTTCCTGGTTCATTTCTGAACCCAAACTGACATCATCTATTCCTTCTTCAACTTTTTTTATTTATATGGTCATGTATTATTTTCAAGAATAATTTGAGAACATGAATTATTAATGATATTGTTCTGTATTTGTTAGTCTTTAGTGTTTTAGTATTTTTAGCAGTAGAGCAAAAGGTAGAGAGTAACTGTTGTTTTGGTATATGTTGTTTTGTATATTGTTTTACACAAGTCTAAACAAGACATGTCTAAGTTTTCTTCCTTTATGCATTTTAAGTTTCTACTGGCATTTGATCTGGACCTACTGCTTAGCCATTTTTCCTGTTTTTCAATGTGATTTTAATGTCCTCTTAATATTTATAAAATCACAACATCTTCAATTTCTACATCCATCTGTTCTGTTCTATTGTCTTTGAACAACTCATTGATGTAGTCTGTCCATCTCTTAAATTGTTTGTTAGTATTCAATACTAGTTTCCCATTTGTGTCTTTCAGTATTTTCGAGTTTCTTTTTCTATTATTGTTAGCTCTAGAGTTCATTCTTCAATTTTTTGTCTGTGAAAAGTGTAATATCTTTTCTGGTATTCTTCTATTTCCGTGCATTGTTCTTTTAACCATTTTTCTTTTGCTTGCATAATTTTGTTTCATTTTATTTGTTTATCTTTGTTTTATGTTGATGTCTTTCTTCCATTAAATCTAAAATTGTCTTCTTCATCCACTGTTTCATTTTATATCTTGTTGAGGTCAGAATTTCTTTTTGACTTTTATCTATTTCTGTCTTGATTAATAACCATGTTGTATATGCTTCAGTATTTTGCAGAATTTGTTCTTTAATATTCATTAATTGATTATTGATTTCATCTATTAGGTGTTGTCTTATGAGTGAGTTCCTTTATTTGCTTGTATCGATTTGTGCATCTATTGTTCTTCTTTTTATTTCCTTTTTGAGCCTAATGTTGATTACTAATGGGTTGAGATCTGATCCTATGTCAACACTTGGATGTTTTTGCTGATATAATTGCATTCCTGTATCTTTGTCTAACTAATACAAAGTATATTAGGTTCTTACTCTCTCTGTGGTCTCTCTTCTTGATCTGTTGGTGACTTTTATTTGTATAGTCTTTTCTTTGGCAATTTAAACAATGTGTTTGCTATCACAAAATTATTATTTTGACAAAATTAAGTAAGCCTATTACCCCTTTCGTTTGTTTCTCAGACTGTATCTGTATTATTTACCCAGTTTCCCAGACTGTATTTATTACTAGTAGAACTGAAACATTTTGCTAATTGAATTTCTTCTAATTTACTTTTGTGTAAGATTTGCCTTAAATATTTTCTATTATTTTAGGAGTGTAGTAGCAATAGCAGGTGAAGACTTTGTAATAATTGGTGCAGATACACGTTTGAGTGCTGGATTTTCCATTTACACCAGAGAACAAAACAAACTATTCCCGCTATCAGGAACTACAGTTTTAGGTTGTGCAGGATGTTGGTGTGATACTCTAACATTAACCAGAATCCTTAAATCTCGCATGCAGATGTACCAACAAGAGCATAACAAAACAATGTCTACAACTGCATGTGCCCAAATGTTGTCAACCATGCTCTACTACAAGAGATTCTTTCCTTATTATATATCAAACATTCTTGTAGGTTTAGATAATGAAGGAAAAGGCTGTGTTTACAGCTATGATCCAATAGGACATTGTGAAAAAGCTACTTACAGAGCAGGTGGTTCAGCTGGAGCTTTGCTCCAACCCCTTTTGGACAATCAGATTGGACAGAAGAACATGCTTAAAACATCTGGAGAACCTCTTAGTCAGGAGAAAGCTTTGTCTACACTGAAAGATGTATTTATTTCTGCTGCTGAACGAGATATCTACACTGGAGATAGTGTACTTATAAATATTATTACTAAAGATGGAGTAAAGGAAGAGTCCTTCCAGTTGAGAAGGGATTAAAAGCAAGCGTTTTTGTTTATATTATTTTCTTATGTGTAATTCAAATATACTTTCTAAATAAACAATTTTAAGATACTTCTTTTTCATTTTATTGAAGTAGTAGGTAAACAAAAGTCATTTTTAATCAAATTTGTTTTAAAATGTAAAGATTTGAACTACATGTTGCTATATGAAAATTATTCACTATTTTTTGTGAGATAAGTAATTAAAGATAAGATAGAGGTTGTTTGTTAGACACATGTCTTCTTGTTTTGGTCCCCATCATTAAGAATATTGGCGATCATTCTGGTTATAATTATTTTATTAACTGATGCTTTAAATAGATTAGTTGTTGTCATGGAGAACCATTTCCTCAGGTTTTCTAACCATGATCTTCTCCCAATTCCTCGCTTTCCAAATACTTTGCCATGAAGGATTATTATCAGTAATCTGTATTTAGTGACGTTTCTCATCATGTGTCTGAGATATTCTAACTTTCTCCTTTAATCAGATACATCACTCCTCTTTCTTTCCCCATTCTTCATAGTACAATCTCCGTGGTTATCTTGTCTGTCCATGATATCCTTAGGATTCTTCTGTATAGATACATCAAGAAGAGGTTTCAAGTTTTTTTCCATTGCTTCAGTGAGTGTCCAGGATTCAACTCCGTAGTGTAATATCGAGAAGATCTAACATCGTAGGAGCCTTACTTTTATATCCAGATTAAGGTTGTCTTACTTTTACTGTCTGCAAAAATAACGGTGTCATCTGCATAGCAGATGTTTATGCCATCTCCATTTAAACAGATTCCATGTTCGCAATTTTCCAAGGCTTCGCTAAATATTTCCTCTGAGTATAGGTTGAATACTATAGGTGAAAGTATCATTCCTTGTCTAATGCCTCGCAGAATCTGGATCGCTTCCGTTGGTTCATCTACAAGATTTGTTCTTATTGTGGCTGATTGGTTCCAGTATAAATTTTGTATTATATGCCGGTCTTTATCATCTATTTGGGCTTTTGTTAGGACATTCATCATTTTTTCGTGTTAAACTGTGTCAAATACTTTTTGATAGTCAACAAAGCAGGTGTAGATATCAGCAAATCATATCTCTTTCACCTTTCAGGAATCCAAACCGTGCGTCTTATATTTACATAGCTTGTATATTCTGCAATATATAATTTTAAGAAAAAGTTTGATTGTATGACTTATTAGACTATATTCTCTGCAGTTTTTTGCTCCCTAGACACATGTATTATATCAAAAAATGAGGCTATCTTATACTAATGTTTTTAAATTGCTGCAAGATATTCAAAATGTTCTATACAAGTATATTTCTGGCTTGTATTTGCAAGTTGGAAGCCCTCATCATCCAAAATTATTTTATTTCATGATTCACTTCTGCTTTCACACAATATATAGTGGTTACTCTGACTGCTTCTAAATTTGTGACTGAATCAATTCTCCTTACTAGATCATTCTTATGTTAAATCTTGTATAATTTATTATAGATACTTAACTGTTTCACTTTATAAAAATGTATATGTTAAATAGTCCAACTGCAGATACTATTACATTAAGTTTGTTTATTAATCAAAAGATATAATAAATTGGTGAGGATAATCATTTATTTTATCAAGTTAAAAACTGAATAACTAAATTTTCAACATAAACTTTTTTTTGGTTATAACTGGTTGAACTGCAACGAATTAAATTATATTACATCATCCATTCTTTATGTGCTCTATGAAGCACCAGCTTAGTGAACAAGCATCTAGCTGCGCAGCTATAGCTGTCACATTCAAACTGTTTATGATGGTAAACACGGCAACTGCATTCAGATAAACTACAGAAAATACATATTCAAATACTATGTTTATACAATCAATTGAAAAGTTAAATCAACAAAAAGAAAACTAGAAGATACAAAGAATGTTTCAAAAAATACATTGTTTTAATGACAAACAATTTAATTTACATTACTTCTCAATGCTATTGCTTTTATTGCTGCTTACAAAATTAATTATTTTTAATTAAGATAATACCACTATAATCTTTTAAAGATCATTTGTGTACAAAGAAAAATATTCTTGTATTATAGAGTAAATTATTGTCTTTATATCAAAAAGAAAATATCTGAAATTCCTAGCATACTACTCTTTTAAAGTAATCTACTTTTATGTATTTCTACTTCTGAAGGTAAAGCTACCATTTTAGAATTTAATGGAGGCATGAAAAATATTTTTTTTTGCAGAACAGCTTGAATCCAATGATAAATTGGAAGAAGTCTTTAATTTTGTGAATAGTCATTTTGTAAAACTAATCTTTATTACATACCTATCAATAAAATGTAACAGTGTCAACCTATTTCATTACTGTAAAAGAAATAAATGACTATTTTAACAACAATGTATATATGAGTTTTGAATTGATTATTTGGTTCTACAAATGGAAATTTTGAATGAAGATTCTATAAATTGGTAAAATATATTAATATTTAATTAAGTACAAAAATATCCAAAGATATGTTTCTTCTCAATCCCTTATATCTGGTGATATATTGCTTTGAGATTGAGTTCAAAGATAAATATGTATTTCAGCAGGTATATAACTATAGACTAGACTCAGATTTATTACAAGTAATTTTTAATAAAAAAAACCATAACTATACAATTTGTTAAATCTAGTGAACATAAGTGTCTGCAAATGTCAACACATTGTATGAATTATAATTTTAAAATTATTATCTATTGGATAAGATAGAGCATGGAGAAGAGTTGACAGAGACAATGGTGAATGGAGGATTGTTATGAAGAAGGCTTTGGCTCATAACGAGCTGTGATGCCACTGATAATACAATATATTACATTTTGAATGATAGGATTTTTATTTACTTACATAAAAATGATATTTCATCAAAAAATCATCTTTGAGATTGGGCATTAAGGAATATAAACAATATAAAATTTTCATTTGACTTTAAATATTAAAAGAACTAATTTCTAGGACTAAAATTTTGATAATAAAACCTAAGGGATATAGGACAAAATGTATATAAAACAAATGTTTTGACTCTTAAAAATTAAAAATTAAATGTTACTGGATCACTTTCATTTAATATTGAGATACAAATCAACCATCTATAATCTTTCACATGTTAATTCGTTCCATGCTGATGATGTGCTGGTGCGTGGCTACATGACTTTAGCTATAAGTAGTGTAGCACTGTATAAATATATTAATATATATTTTTTTATAAAACTCAATTAACTGGCACCTTGAACCAGTAGAGTTGCGCTCTAGCTGTATTTTACTTTATCTTTGATACCTCAAGCTTTTTGCAGCTGGCAACCCTAATTTGCGAATATTTTTTCTCAGCCGCCCCTATATTATCATAAGAAAAAAATTAGCTTTAATTTTATATAAAAAAATGCATATAAGTCATGGCAGCATATTTTATTTAAAAAATAAATTAATGATATAATTACTGTAAATTGAATAAATATGTGTGGCCACTTTTTTACTGGCAGCCTATTATCAACTATAAAATGTAAGTGTGATTAACTATGTTATGAACATAGTGATCCTACAGTGGGATCTTAAGACTATAATGGGTCACATTTAATTGCCTAGGCTTGATGATAGTTGGAAAAAGAAATATACCTCTTTTGCTAATGCAATTTTTTTTCACCTATATGAACTGAAACAGATTTATGGTCATTATGTGATGTTTGCATTTTAGTGAAAATCCAGAAGAGTTAGAACAAGTACTTGAAGAGAGAATATATAAAATTAGTTCAATGATAAATTAAATATGAGAATAGAAAAAGTTTATTATCCTGATAGTAATTAGAGTTAATGCTATTACACAAAGGACAACTTAAGTGTAGACAATACTTAAACAACAAAAGCATAAATATGGAATCAAGTTGTATACATTGACAACAAATGGAAAAACTTTATTATCCTGATCGTAATTTGAACTTAGATGAGTTAATGGTATTACACAAAGGACAACTTAAGATTAGACAATACTTAAACAACAAAAGCATAAATATGGAATCAAGTTATATATGTTGTCAGAACCAAATGGTCAAATCTTTTGTTTATTCCAGAATGTTGACGATTCAGGTGGAAAAGGGCTGCTAATAAAGAAATTTTGCATCTTTTAGAAGGGATTCTAAATGTAGGCCATTAAATTTACATGGACTTTGACTTAGCCACAAATCTGCTTTTCAAATTACTGCACATATACTCTTTGTAAGTGAAAAATAATCCTGCGGAAGTAAATTAAGAAATGCTTGCCAAGGGTACAAGAATTGTTTGTTGTGGAAAAGGGGTATTAGTTGGCAAATGGAAGGATATAAGTGAGACATATATAATAACAGAATGTTAAAACACCTTAAAAAAAGTTCAGCACACAATAAGGAGAGGTCAGCATATAATGAAACCAGAGCCTACATCACATATAATAAAAAAATATCTGGTATTGACTTGAGATGAGATGCTTGTCTATTATCTGTATCAACAAAAAACTGTAAGATGACTCAACAAAACCATTTATACATATTACACATGATAGTTATAAATGCCCAGGTACTATATAACTAGTGTTCTTAAAAAAGGATTGGTCTTTACAAATTTCATTTAGAACTCATTGGATCACTTTTAAAAATTAATAATCCTGAAGCTAAACATGTTACAAAAAATCAGATAGTAACAAAACAATAGGCAAAAGATCTAAATGGAAAAGTTATGATATAATCCAGTATGAGGTATTCAAAAAGATACAATTTATGAATGCAAAATCCCTCCTGATACCACTGGATTTAATGTAGATTGCTGTAAAATATCCCACATTTAACCTTAGTTTTGTTTTATATGCCTAAATTTTATGTTATTTTATATTTCTTGCTTCAGATTAGTTTTAAATAAGATAATGTTCCTTATTAATTTGTACAATTCATTTGTTTATTATACTGCATAAAACTGATTTTTATCAGTATTATTTACAAATCGTACCACATTCACAACCCTTGTATATATGTGCATTTAGTTTATAAATACTTTATTCAAACTGTTTGAAAAACTAATAAATGTCTATGTATCAAAAAAAGTAATTGGCCTTTGGTGAAAATCTACACCCAATAGATTGGCAGTTAATGTGTTAATTTGTTACTCAAATAATCTGGGCCCTACTGGTCAGCAACTACAGTAACGGAATAAGGTATATTATATGTTGACACCTGATAAAAAAAATTCAAGGAACTAACTTATTCTTTATTACACAATACTTGACATGGATTTCCCAATATTTGTTGGCTCTATATCAGGAAGAGGAAAACTCATAAGCAAAAAAACAAAAATCTATGGCTGACTTGCTTCCTAATTTCTAACTTCCTATCAACCATTGCTTTGGTCAGTTGTTTTCAGTCAGTATAAATATTTAAATATATAGATTCAGGTTAGTAACAATGTTATATTACAGAAATTAACTCATTCTAAAAGAAAATAAACCAATCCATTTGGGTGTGTTCAAACCACCAATTTATTTTTTTATTTAAACAGTTAATATTAATTTTATTACAGTAGGGGTACACAGAGATTTTATTTCTAAAAAACAACTTAACATTTAATATTAACCCTACATATGGGTGTAAGATTGCAAGGGTTCTTACAATAAATGCAGGAATCCTAGAAGTGAACTATTATTTAGGTAGAAAAACCTTAATCAAAATTGTAATGTTATTCCCCCAGGACCTCACCTACTTTTTGTTTCCTGGGGGCAGTACTAATGGTTGTCCACGATCTTTTCCTCTGAGTTTAATTCCAATGATACGTTCAATTTTACCAATAATTGCATTGTTTGGAATACCTCGACCGGCTTCGTAATCCGTTATAACTTGTGGTTTTTCGTTAATTTTTGTGGCAAGGTCTTTTTGGCTGAGTCCCTTTGACTGACGACCCTGTTGGATCAACTTTCCTACATCCAGTGATATGGTATCATGTTTCAGTTCTTCTGTTTCCCTATCCAATTTGGCAGTATTTTTTGTTGCTACATGTTGTTTATTACTACCAGCACCCCCTAAAAGGTAACATTATGGTATAAAAATAAAAATAACATAGTCATTATCTTACATTTTAACTGCGTGTCGACAGCTACACCTTGGCGACGAGCTGCATTTATTGCTTGCTCACTTTTCATTGTGGAAGCTTTAGGTGCTCGTTTCTTTAAAACAGTTACTGTGTCCCAATCAGCCATAGTTTTTATTTAAATATTAAAAATATATATAAATGAAGCAATGTAATGCAATATTGAAAGTTCCAGATATTATTCTTCTTCTTTTTTAGTTGTAGCTTGTGGTCTACTGTCAGTTAAATTGTGCTGTTGAAAAATCAGAAGCTACCTGTGGCTTTTAACTTTGGATTAAGGCCACATAGATCACAGAATAGATATTGTTTGTTTTTTGGGTTTGTGGTTTATGACTCCATTCATGCCATATTCATGATCATATTCATGATCCATTCGCATAAATATTGAAATGCTTTAATGATTTTTAAACATTATTTTATAAGACACAAAGTCATGACTGTATTTATTTCAAAAAATTCTATATATTAACTCAAATATATGACCAAGTTTTTAAACCATTTATCAAGAGAGTTCTTTAATTATAGAGACTCGTCTATTATTACTCATAAATAAATTAATCTAGACTTTTTTATAATATTCCAAAAGTAGTTTCAAATAATAAAAAAGCACACGTAATACTTTACTAATGTTAACTACCATTATCAGGACATGACCAAGCATTCATAAAATAAGTACCTACCTAGTATCAGTAGATATATTTCTTTGGTACAATATTTAGAATGGTTATTTATGTGTGAGCGTACAGTATAATTGACAAGAAAATACAAGAATATCACCTTTTTTATTTGATTTATTCTTAGTTAATAATTAAACAGTTATATTTTTTCTCAGGTCATAGACCTTAAAATAATACCGCTACAGTATAGAAGGGATCACCGGCGTAACAGTACTGTAGTAGCAAGAAATATACACATACAATTGGTATACAAATTGTTGTATAAAAATTGTACACTGCTTGTTTACTTGCTGTTTTATGCTAAAATTTATTGCAGAGGTAGTTACCTACTTATGAGACTCATGTATTTATCAAACTATACATTTAGGTACCTCCAGCTGTTAAACTGGTAACGTATCTTATAGACAAGAGGGAGTGATAATATACCTATTACAGTAAAACACTGAGAAATGTCCACTGAATGGAATTTATTAGGAATTCTATTAGGAGTAGAACCCAGCAATTCATACTGTCACACGTCCTCGAAGACACAATGTATCGCATTAAATCGGGTAATAGCCAATATGGGAAGCCGATACTCAAAAAAATGTAAATTGTAAATGAACATAGTAACAAATCCTCAAAATGAACTTGTAGCCGTCGTCTTCGTCTTGTAAGGTTCGTAATTTTCAACTATTTCCTTTATTTCCATTCTAATATTTTGATATTTTATACGATCCAGCTCTGTATATCATCTGTCGTCTCGTCCATTGCAATTCTCATTACAAAATTATCTACTTCTTATTTACATACAATTATCCCCTCTTTGGTTATTGTAACCTGCAAGAATACATTCACAGTGCTCCTTTTGGTATCAAATGAAATAAAATATTAAAATCTTCGCCTTAAATTTCCACCATTCTGTTAAATGAAACCGAGGTTTTAACTTCAGTACCTCCTAATCCATTTAAATCTACTACGTTTTATGTAAGAATGACGCCATCAAAATATTTGTTAAAAATATCTTGTCTTACTGCAGTTACGTCAGTGCATGTACCTATTAAACAATGCACGCAGTGATATTGTTCTTAACTTCAATGTCACGGTGTTTTTATATACTACCTCAATATAATATGGCTAGAAGTTGACGCTTTCTTTTCTTTAGCATCGCATCGAGAAGAAATGTGTCCAAACTGGTTGTATTTGAAACATTTCATTCGCTTGGCTTTATCAGGGAAAGCTTTTTGATTTCTGTCCTTGACTTCCACAATTGAAATACTTTTCTTCCTATTTATTCCTACTCTCACTCACTTTTTTGTGTCATATCGTCTTGCTTCATTTTCTTCAGTTCTTTCTATGCGTCTCGGATTTAAACGATTTGTGTGCTGTCTGCTTTTCAATTAATTAATACAATTTAATTTTCTCTTTAAGCTCATTAAAATTTTTTGCACCATAAAGTATAACTTTATTAACAGAGTCTTCCTGAATTCCTTCAATTATTTATTGCATTATGACTTCTTTTTCTATGTTACCTTTGTTACCAATGTCTTTCATCGTTAGTACATACTCCCTACGCTTTCACCATGCTGCTTCTTTCTATGAATCAGCATTATATATTTTAACACTACTTATTTTGTTCTTAAACTCCCTTTTGGTCATGACCTTTGAGCTATTCGCGCCTCTCTGACAATTTAGCAATTCATTTTAGGAATCGTTTAGCAAAAATTATCATTTGCAAATCATTCCATCCCATCAAATTTAAAATTTCTTCAAAATCATCAATTTTTCTATAATATACCTAATTGTTGTTTTTTTGGTCGAAAGCCCTTATACTGTCTTCACGTTTCTAAAAGTTAAGGCAAATGAATCATTTACTCTACCTGTTATCACCTTAACTGATTTTGATTTCTTCCTCGTAATTAAAGCCGTCGTCTTTTTATTTTCAATATCGTCATAATATTTATTATCGTCAGTAACGTCATTATCATTGGCGTCTTTATCTTCGTCATCGTTATCAGCCTCGTCATCGTCCTCGGCCTCGTCGTCCTGATCGTCTTCTTCGTCATTCCGATCATCAAACTTTAACTCGTTCAAAAATGAAATAGTTAAATCACGTCGTCTTCTGAACCAGAGTGGTCCAGATCCAAAACTTTACAAACTATCTAGTTTATTTTTCACGTCATTTATTTTCCTAGCATATTTCTTTATCAAACGAAAAGCTTGTAAAACTACGCAAGTTCTTTTTTGTTTGTTGTGACACTCCTTCATTGCCGTATGCAATAATATGCAAGTCCTTAACAGCTTTTCATGCCGAATTTAAATATTTTGACTAATTTTTGAAAAAAGCTAGATTATTTTTTTTATTAGATTATTTTTTTCTGTATAATATAACGACGTGCACCCTAGTATAATAAAATGCGTTACTGTGCACGTCGTAATTGTAGTCGCTTATTCTTAAAAAAATTTATCCCAATTTATTACAATCCGAGGAATAAGAGGTAAAAAAATCATCAAGAGAGCTGAAGAGATATTACTAAAGCACTCTAAGACACTCACAGCATGATCCTCAAAAAAACACACCTCAACAATGCCTGGACACATTAAAACAAAAACTTTCCGTTTATTCAGGCCGCCTAAAGAGATACAAAGCCACAACCGAAAATGCGGCAATATACTTTTTGAGCATGCAGAGAAGGCTTTTTATAGGAAACTTAATTTCACTGTAGAAAATGAAAATAAATCATACCCGAGCCAAGAAGAAATTCACGAGTTTTGCGAAAATCAACTTTCAACGCCAGCTACTCATAACACCAATGCTGGATGAATTAAAGACGCAACGAACAATTGTCAACATTACAATAATACTTCTTACGAACCCTTCACCATTGACGAAGTCTCAAATACTGTCAAAGTGCTTTATAACTGGAAATCTTGTGGACCAGATGGAGTTCAAAACTTCCGGCTAAAGAAGTTTCGGAGTGTTCATGAATGTTTGTCAGTATTGATAAATCGTGTTATCTCTAATCCGTATGAAATACCATCATTTCTTACACAGGGAACTACTTATCTAATACCGAAGGATCAAAATAACACCCAAGATTCAGCCAAGTACCGTCCAATTACTTGTCTTCCAATTTTGTACAAATTGGTCACATCCTGTGTAGTCCGCCGTATCTACAAACACTGTATTCTAAACAATATCATACAATATCTACAAACACTGTATTCTAAACAATATCATACAGCCTTAACAAAAAGGATACGTTAAGGGCTCCAGGGGTTGTAAAGAACAACTTATTATCCACTCAGTCATTTCTAACCAGGCATACACCAAAAAGAGGAACCTTTTACTGCCTTCATTGACTACAAGAAGGTTTTTGATTCAGTGACGCATGAATGGCTTATATGTATATATTGAAAATATATAAAGTCTATGATAATCTAGTGACCTTTTTGAAGCATATAATGGCCAAGTAGAAGACTAAAATTCACCTTCAAATACCTGGTGAAACCAATATCGAAACTGAAGATATCCCAATTAAATGGAGTGTTTTTCAGGGGGACTCATATCGAGTCCACTTTGGTTCTGTCTAGCGATGAACCCACTATCTCAGCTACTTAACTTCACTAACCCAGGATTTAGCATCAAAAATAACAATACTGTTGTGATGAAGCTTAATCATCTGTAGATCATGTTGATTTGAAATTAATGGCTTCCAATCGAAACCATCTAGAGGAGATGTTTAAAATTGTAGAAACTTTCTCATATCAGTATGCATTTTGGACTAGACAAGTGCTGCATATTAAATATAATCAGAGGAAAGGTTTAGTCCAGGGGTTTCGATATGCAAGATGGCCAAAACAAGCGCGGAAAATTGACCATAAACAAATGAATACCGAACTAACTTCCGAGTTTGTAGGAAGAATAAGACAACTAAATCCGTCTTAATAGTAAAAATTGGTTTAAGCCATTAAATACATACACCTGTTCCGCGTTAACCTACTCATTTGGTATTATAAAGTGATCAAAGACGGATAGAAACAGTCTTCAGCGTAAAATGACAACACTTCTCATAAAGGCGCAAAAACAACATCCACGCAGTGCAATAGAGAGAACAACATTACCATAGATTTGAACATAACCGCGATATCAAGGGGGAAGGGGACTTAAGGACACAGGAGAGAAACTGGATAAATATAGGTTGCTAATTTAAAACCCATTTTAAGAACTTATTTTCAGGCGCAGGCTGACACATCTACACAAGACTCTCATCATACACAACAAATAATAATAAAAAAAAAATTAATTCCCCTTCTTCTTTCCCTATTTTTAAAATTTTTGTTTTTTGTTTTTTTTTTGTTTGTTTGTTTGTTTTTTAAAGACAAAGGACGAGGAAAAAAGAAAAGGAAAAGAAGGGAAAAAAATATTCCTTTTTAAAAATAGGGCTGTCCCCGTTCTGTTTACTAACTTTTTTAATAATTGTACCTCACTGCTTGCCAAAGAAACACATGTACGACACATGCCACATGTGCAAATATGACAGCCTACAACCGATAGAAAACAATCCAAGAGATTATTGTGTTGGATTGGATCGTCGAAAGAGCTTACACCCACATTGAGATGAAGCCATCGGTAAAAATTAAATAAATAATAGTGCTCTTTCAGTTTTTTCTTGTGTGTTTTTTGTTTCGATTCTATCGTTTAGTTTTAAAGTTTTTTAATGTTAAGTTATCGTAGAGTGTTTTTAACATCTTTAAAAAAACCTACAAATTGTTTTTGTAAGTATGAACCCTTTTGGTTATTTACTTATATTTTAAATCTTTTTATTTTTATTTGTAGTGAACTGATGATGCTTTTGAAAACAAAAAAGCGAAACGTATTCAATTAAATCAATGAAGTAGTTGACGACTTTCATTTGCCTATTATTGACCGATACAACCTCTGCTATTCAACTATTGAATATATTTTAAATATATATATATATATATATATATATATATATATATATATATATATATATATATATATATATATATATATAATATATATATATATATATATATATTTATATATATATATATATATATATATAAATATATATATATATATTTATATATATATATATATATATATATATAATATATATATATATATATATTTATATATATATATATATATATATATATATATATATATATATTTATATATATATATATATATATATATATATATATATATATATATATATATATATATATATATATATATATATATTATATTTATATATTGACCGGGCTGACAAACGAAACTGGAATAAGAATAAATTAACTATTCATTCTCTAACAATTTCGCGCTTAAAATTTGGCGAATAGCACTCTGCCTGTTGTAATATCCGGTTGCGGTAAGTATTGTTATTGGTTGAAGATGTTGTCGTAATTATAATCTATCTTTAGTTTACAGTTTATATAGAAATTTCTGTTTTTTTATACTTTGACAAAATCAAATTAATAATTATGTGTTAATAATATTATAAAAATTTTCCGGAATTGTATTAAATAATTACAGAAATGATTACTAAATGCTACCCTCTTTTAGTAAACATGCGCAATGTGTTACGCTACGTTCCAAATCGGTAAATCCATAACTATTTGTCTCATTCTGAAGCTGTACTTAAAACAAAGATACAAGATGTGGAAAAACTTCTAGACTTCCGTTTCCTTTAGTACTGGATGTGACGTCAACAGACCGAGACCGGCACGCCAGTTCATTCGGAAATCTGAATCGATCATTTCCCCTTTTGTGCTGAGCCGAAGTGGGTGTGCTAACGTAGTGTACAATTTTTAATTGTATTTCCTACATTTTCTCAAGTTAGGTTTTTTGCAGTTGCGTACTGCATAATTTCAAGTAATTTATTGTGTTTTTGCTAATAAAGGTAAGTTAATTTGTAGTAATATTGCAATATCAAAAAAAAATCTTGTCGGCGTCAGCTTGGCTTCAGTCGGCTTCCATTTTGATTCTGATTCCAATTAACATTTAACGTTATTTCTTGCTACATTTAGTTCAAATAAACATGGCAAATAGAAGATTGGGTGGCGGACCTAGCGGTGGCCTCCGGGGCAATCGTTCTTTTAATCAACCACCATTTCAAGGAGGTAGTGGTGTTAGCCCCTGGCAGGGGTCTAATAGTTCCAGTCAGGGATTGATCTCCCAAATTACTTCCAATCCCCAGCAACTTGCTCTTGCTCTCACGAGCTTACTACAACCTCAACAACAGAATCCACCATCGTTGCTTTCTTTGAATACATCTCCTGGTTATAATCGCGACAGAGATTTTGGCAGAGGCCGTGATTTCAGACGACACGAGCCTTACAGTAAGGTATGAATTTAAAACTACTTTCTAAGGGACAAGATGTCTGTCCATTTTAATATATCTCCTATTAATTGAGATGTCTTGTTAAGTGTAATGTACTTGCTTATTTTCATGCCGGTACCTTACAGTTTGACTCTGATGTATTTTGATTTAAAGATCCCTGTAAATGTGCGGAATAATAGCTAAAATCTTATATTTCTTTAAATCTATAAAAGTTTTAGGCGTGGTTGAATACGATTTTCATGATTAACAGTATGAGCGTTTTTATTTTAAGTATTGATTGCTTCTAAGTACAAAACCGTAGAGGTCTGATCAAATTGCATATGGCTGCCAGTAAGATCAATATTTGGAATTTAGTCGTGGTCACCACAAATTTTCATGCCGCCATTTTCTTTTATAGTTGGCAATATTTAAATATCTTTTTTAATTTGTTAATCCAAATTTAAAGCATTTGTAAATCCAAATTTAAAGCATAATTTTAAATTTTATGTGTTTATTAAACATAATCCATGTATTTTCATTGAAACTGAAATTCCTGTTAAAATATCTATTGCTGGTATAGTATCAGTTATAGGAATATTCTGTATTCAACATTTTGTTTTATTCAGATTCATCACTGCAGTTATGATCAAAATACCAGAGTCAAAATGCTAAGGTAACACCTTCTTCAAAACTTCTGTTACTTTGTTGAAGTTTCTCATACAAACAAAATCAGTTGCCTCAAGTGTTATTTATATATTCTGCACTTCTTTGAGTCTCATTCTCACCATCAGAAGTAGAATAGGCATTCATTTATTTTTAAACAATTGAGGCAACTTATATCTCTTACATTCTGAAGATACTCTACCTGATTATACTTGGAAAGGTTTATCCACCTGTTTAAATTTTTGTATTTTCTTTTATTCATAGCTGACTTTATTTTTATAATTTTATACAAACATTTAATTTGGTGTTCTTTTTACCTAAAACTTAAGCAATCCATAATTTTAGTCCAACACATTTAAGAAAGTTGTTTTAGTCCAACACATTTAAGAAAGTTGTTTTTCTGTACTATTACTCCAGAATATGAACATTTATAGAATAATTTTGTTTTATTTACACCACCAGATCCATAAAATAAAACTACAATTCCTTCATGTTCTGAAATATAATCTGACTAGCTGAATGCCATATTAGTGAATTATGTGTTTTTTATTGAAATAATTGTGTCTGGACTTAGTGTAAGAATGTAAAAAAAGATTTGTATAAAAACATTTGACAGTTTATCTATATTTCTGATTGTATTTTAATATTAATAAATATAGTGTCTTAGCAATACTTCATAGTTGTGAATTTCTTTCACAAGCTCAATTCTTATACAAGATTATCATTGCCCCATTCTTATGAGAATCTTGTTTAAATTTTAACTATCTATAGCCAGTAAATAAAACCAACTGTATTATCGAATCATTCCTTTCACTTCCACTAGATAAGGTATGTAATTTTTAGCCTTGGTAAGTTCATCCTTTGGTTCTCTCTAAATTATTCGATATAACTATATATATTTTTATAACTATATTCTATGGTTCCCAAATTCCACTAATGCTTCTTAAGGCCGTATGACACTATGCATTTTCTTGTATCATTTCTTATATCGTTTCTGATATAACAAAAAAATGGATAATGTCATACAGGCATATAGTTTTTTATATCAGAAACGATACAAGAATTTGTGTCCGCTGCATTTTCTTGTACAAGAAATGCGGCAATTTGTGCGCAAAGCCGCTAAAATGTAAAACTTCTGTCATGTCATATTGGCAGCTGGAGGCATGGAGAAATAAAAATAATTATTATTTTTATTTCTCTATGGCTGGAGGAGAACTTTGATATATACGAGAGATATATAAGTATCTCTGATATATACATACAATTAGGCCAAACAGACATCAGAGAAAAGTGCCCACCAACAATAACCAAGATTAGGATGAGATGTTTTACTAAAAACAATACATAACCGCTCTAGAAATTCGTGATGAGTTTAAAGATTTTATATCTCCAAATAAGAGAGTAGAGTTTCAAGAACATAGGTACCATTCAAACACATAATTTAAAAAAAAAACAAATAAATTATTACAACCAAATTATTATTTCTGTCTTCCATTACAACCTGTTGAATATCTTCAAAAATTGTGGTTTCCAATTTAGTTTTCATATTGGGACATTTTATTTCTTTCATTTTTTGCACCACAGTGTTTTTAAAAATAATCAGTAGCATATGTTCTCAGTCCCCAGTAGCTTGGGGTCCTCAGGCCCTTGTTCGGTGCCTCAGGTACTGCAGTTCTATTTTTATATGTGTCAAAATTTCGACCAATCATGTGCCAAATCACATTCAATTTCTGGTAAAATAACTTGCATGGTGTCATACAGGGCAAAAATGTTGTGTGTACAAGAAAACATAAATAACTTTCTATATCAGAAACGATATAAGAAATGATACAAGAAAATGCATAGTGTCATAAGGCCTTTAGATGTCATTTTTTTTACACATTTCAAGACACATGCACTCTTGATTTTTATTCAAGTTTTATTTTATATTAGCTCTAGCTCCAATATTTTGTAAATATTTTGAAATCAGATTACTATTTGACAATGTATATGATTAAGCTCCAGTTGCAGATTATTCTTAAATTTGGGTTTAGTTTCTTCAGTTTTACTGAAAACAAACTTAATAGAAAAAATATCCAAAGGAAATATCTTTCATTAGGTAAAATTTAAGTAAATAATGAGTTGTCTGTGTATATGTTTAAAATACATTTTAACATTACTCTTTTTTATTACATGTTTCTTTAGTAAATTATTTATGTAGCTGGATATTTTCAATTTTTACATATAATATCTGTTAACATGATACTTCTGTTTATAATTTTTAAGGGACAACAGTCTGCTCTGAATGTCATTATATTTTCATTTATATGTTGTGACTTCTGAATACTGCTCTGAATAATATTGTAACATGTTTTTAGAAGTTTTATTTAACAAATCATTATTTTATATATCTTTATTTTGTATACCATCTTCTCTCCAACCAAAATTTATCTTTTATTACATTTTTCAAAAAAGGTTTCGAAGTTTTGCTTTTGCTATTATTTTCAGCTCCAGAAAGATAGTTATCACATTTTAATGTCTGCATGCATATACATACATGCATTCAAATTTATAACAATAAATATATTAAAATAATTTAAATGGTATTCTAGTTGTGAAGCCTACTTGCTCATTTTGTATTAAAGGCCTTTATTTGGCTTTCTCGATTTTTGACTAAAATTTTAGTGTTACCAAAATTCTATTATCTGTTCTACTAAGTCTCACATATCAGTTAAAAATTCTACAAAATGTTACGATATTATTCTTTGCAAAGAATTTGTATATGTATAATTTCTATGTATTTACCTTTCACCATAATCACAGATATTTCCAAGTGTAATCGAATTTATTTTCTCATGTTTCTCTGCAGGTATATGTATTTTCTAAATTTCTATTAAAGCATGAAAGAAATTCATAAAATGAAACATTCCAGTAGCTTTCTAATTATTTTCCATTTCTCAAAATTAAGTTATGATTTTCTTTCAGTATTGTGCTCTCCTAATTGAGTGTCCATGTAAAAACAGCTACTTATGGGCCACTTTTGTATCTACCTTTAATAAACATTTTTTTTATTTGATTCATGACCATACTTTTGATTTAATAGAACCGTCAAGGAGGGGGAGGATTCAATAGAGATAGAAAAAGGAGTCAAAATCAAAAGGATCAAAAGAAGGATTCCAAGAAAGATGATGGAACTGATGATGGAAATGAAGATGGAGAAACCAAGAGAGATTGGAAAGATGAAAAAAGCAACAGTGAAACTCCTGAAACTGAGGAAGAAGCAAAGGCAAGAAAGGAAAAAGAAGAGAAGGAGGGACCTTATTATGATGTACCCATTAAGTTGTTGAGCTGCTTTGTCTGCAACAAGGAAATGTGGGATGGAGAATCTATGAGGAAACATGTTAAAGGTTGGTAAAAATGTTAATATATTCATGTTTAAAATGGTCATTGTCTAGAATACACTGCAGTGAAGATAGCCACAAAGAATATCCACAGAAGGGATATTATCGATACATTTTTGGCAAAGTAACGTAAGTCACCAAAAACGATTTGTAGAAAAAACAATTTTTTAATTCAACCTGGTTAAACTTATTTAAATTATGACTGAAAAAAACTTGCTCTACTTGTCCTAAAAAAGGTTTAAAGTAATTCTAGGCTTACTACACTCTTTCAGTACCTTTTTAACAGTAATAGCATTAGTTTAATTCAAAAACATTATTTTCGCCAAAAATGTTACTTACGTTACTTTGCCAAAAATGTATCGTTATTTTAGGGATTCTGCAATTTTTAAAATTATATAAAACATGAAAAAAATGTTTAATTGTAGTCAATTATTAGAAAAAAAAAATTGACAATTACTCTTACGATAATTATGATAATGAGCAAATATATTTGGCAATCCTCAAACCACCAGTTGCAATATTGCAATATGTCTTAAATTTATTTATACTGAAATTTTTACACTGGAGAACAAAAAATTTAGGTCACATTTAAATTTTGTGGTTTGTAGTAGTAATTTGTTTATTGTGGTATCAGGTTATAGTAGGCCCCCCATACATATTGTCTTTCGAGAAATCATGTATCATTTTTTTGTTATTGTATGTATGTATGTATTATTTTTTATGTCGGTTCAGTCACATACTGTCCTCATATTTATGATGTTTAGCCTTTTTATGAAATATCTGCACTCCAGTGGAACTTATTTCATTGCTAGATTTTCAATTATTTTTTTGTGTAAAAACTATTGGTGTTAATGTATTGATATAAGAAGTTTGTGTAGTTCAAAATGTGTACCAGTGCTGTGAGGAAACTGGTCTAATAACCACAAGGCCAGGATCCAGACAAAAATCAAATCACTACCCAGAGACCATTGGTTTGTGGTGTAGAGCTGAGAAATGTTAATCTTCATAAGCTGCTAGATTATCTTGTGACAAATCTAACCATTATAATGCCAGCATCGAATACCAAGATTAAATTTTGTCGACTCAACTCCATTAGAATAATTTAAATAGTAGCAACTTACTGTTTTTAGATGAGTCATGTTTTTTTCTCAATAGGTTGATGGATTTTGTCAAGTATGGAGAAGACCCAGATAAAGATATGCTAAGGCTTGTATTGATGAGCGACTTCCATTTTGCAGTGACTATAATATGGTCTGGGTAGGAATTACTTCAGAAGCATAGACAGAGTTGGTCTTTTCTTGATCTACAAAATGGTTCTCTTATGGGTCACAGATATATTACAGAACTTTTAAATGATCATGTTATGCCTTTCATAACTATTATTGGTGAACATGACATTTTCCTCCAAAATAATGCTAGAACCACAAACAGAAGTTTACCACTAAAAATGTCAACAAGACATTACAATTTCAATGTGACCTAAATTACCCCTGTACTTTTTCTTTTTTGATAATTCTAAACTATTAATTTTTATCTGTAAAATGTTTGATTTTCAAATATCTTTAATACTATATTTAATTTTGTCATGCATTATTTCTAGCTATCACATCACAGATAGTTTTGTTTTTTCATGTCTAATATTTTTGTTTGGATCTTAATGGTTAATAATTTTTTAGGTCGTGCCCATAGACAAATGTTGGACAGCTTGGAAGAAAGCATTCACATCACTGTTAACATTTTAAGGGAGAATATGCGTCTTCTTGAAGAGAAAAAACTTATTGAGTTAAACCGTGTACAACGTGTTACTAAGAGATTTAACAAGCCTGAGCCTGAAAGTCATTGCAACATGTGTGATCTCAAATTCTTGGGAAAAATCATTGCTCATCGCAAGTAAGTTATTAAATATTTTAGTATTTTTATTAATCTAATGTATTGTCTTTATTTATTATCAAAGGTTCTATTTATAACACTTACAAATTTATTAAGTCCTTATTAAAATATTCACTAATTTATCACAATATTTATTTATATTTATTTCCACCTCCATCAAAAAAACTCAACTTCATATTCAAAAACTAACTGTTTACATAAAATGTCCTCTTTAAATATAAAATACAGTTAATCAGGAATCTCTAGGTGAAATTCGGACTGTGACCTTCTCGACTAGTATAGAAGGAATCCTACAACAGACAGGTTCTTTAAGAAGGGTGGCGAACTTGATAGAACAAAATAGAATTATAAAGAATATGTTTACAGTTATGTCATAATTATTGTAACAATATCTTGTACTAGTACAGATTTAGGTTTAAAAAATTCTCAGCTCCTTTATTAACACTCTAGCCACCAATGATATTTTAAATTTTTTTGTCGTGCACCAAAACTATATTATTTTGCTAAATGAAATGCTGTAAGTGTACATTAATGTTACACATTTGTCAATACAGAGTGCACATTTGTTACACTTGTCGGCAAGAGTGTTAAATATGAACATTTGTTTTTTTTTATTTTATCTGCAAGTTCATCAAGAGATATTACAGTTGTCAGTACAGTAGATGAAGCTTTATAATATTTTAAAAATTTTAATAATTTTAAAATTGAATACAAAAATTTTATTATTTATATTGTAAGCAAATTATATTTAATAATTCAAAAGTGGAATTGTCTTGTAAGGGTGCTTTCTTTAAGCAAGACTGTTGGAATTTTTTGTTTCGGATATGCCGATCCTGAGAATTAGTGTCTGCCATCATCATTTTTTAAAAATATATTCGATTCTAATATTTCGTAATATTAGATTCTAATATTTCATCTTTGTATCTAATAAAGGAACTGGGATTTTTTTTAATATGTATTCTTTTAGCTAGTACCTTCAATGAACCAGATTTTTGTTTTGTATTTTTAATATTAACATTGTTATATTTAATTTTAGGACTGAAGGACATCAACGTTTGAAGCACTACTTGCATCCTAACTGCCGCTTGTGTAGTAAGGAATTTCCCTCTAGGATGGAATGGATTGAGCATCGTTTGACTCCTGACCATCTCAGGAAATTAAGTAAAACACTTGCTGATAAGGTTGGTGGTGCTGACGGCAATGATATTGTTGAAGTTGAAGAAGAACATAATGATTTGGCATTGGAGCCAATTCTAGATGAACCATTGGAAATGGAAGCTGAGAATCCAATTCTTGAAATTACTGAAAATCTCAATTTCTCTGGAATTCAGAATCTTATGCCTGCATACAAACCAAACAGGCCAATTTCTGCTAATAGTTTAAAGCCATTCTCTGGTTTTGTATGTGAGCTCTGCCACAGAAGCTTTGTGGATGAAGAAGTGTCACAGGTAAAGACTCAAAAAGATATCACTGTCCTCCAGATCTTTAACCTACTTTTTGTTTTAGAACCACTTGAAAACCAGAAGACATCATCTTAAATTCGTTGAAGCTCTTAAGCTTAAATTCAAGGAACAACAGAGAAAGGAGAAGGAGGCTAAGGAAGCAGAGGCTAAGGCTGAAGCAGAGAAGAATGGGGCCAATGAAGATGGTGTGTATATTAAAAATTATTTCTATTAATGAATTTAGTCAATTTTAAAAAATGGGGGAGGATTTTAATATACTGGATGTTATAAAAGACCTTATATTGATTTGTTGTCAAGTAAAAAATAATGTTTTCATAGATTTATCGACTTCCATTTTTTTGTTTCCCATATTCCATTTATTACTTTATCTTCACAGCTAGTTTATCTGTAGTTATATTGATTTCATATTTTAGTATTAAGATGTTAATATCGGTAGTTAAAAAATCACTTGGTTCTTTTCTAATATTTTCTGAGTTTGCCATTTTGATATTTTTCTTCATTTATTTTAATATAATTCAAATCATTACTGTGTATTATAAAAATCCCATGTGCCATACTGTCATTGTTCTGTATTCAGGTCAGCTTAATTGATTAGCTCAAATGCAGTTTTTAAATATTAGGTCTTTCTATAACAGACCTAATGTAGATTGGGGTAACTATTCTTCTTTCTAACTAACAGGTGATTTGTACAATCCAGATGAACCAACACAAGAAGAATCTGCCGAAGGAGATGCATCCATGGATGTCTCTCAGGAAGATGCTGCTGTCAAGGAAGAGACTATGGAAGCTGAAGAAATTGAGGAAGAAAAGCCACCTGCGAAAGGTGCTGCTGCCAAGGGGGCCAAAGCAGCTCCAGCTGCTGCAACACCAGCAGCTGTTAAGAATGGAGCTGGTCCAAAAAGCAAGAAGGCTCGTAAATAAATTTCTGTGTTTTAATGGAATTCCATATATTTATCGAAGAACTCTTATTTGTTCTACATTTTAGTCTCTTACCCAATATTTTAAAATTTTGGTATAGGTGGAAAAATATGAATTAGTTTGTAGTAGTACAGATAAAACTATTTCTGGCTGAATTCTATTTTTCTATCGTAAAGTGTTGAACAAATATTGATTTCTTTTTAACAAAATGTGTTGGGAATTAGTTTTAGGTTTCATAATCATTGATAAATTCCGTTTTCAAACTCATTTTAATCTTATATTAATGTGTAAGGAATAGCATAGAAATTTTATTTGCGTATTTTATAGTTGACACTAAATTATGTATGTATTCACTAGATCATCAAGTATGTATTTACTAGATCATCCTGTATCATGGAATAATATATTCAGATTCATTACACTTTATACCATTTGACGTAGTTTACTAGATTCTAATGGGAGGAAAACCATGTAGATTAATCACATTTCTAAACAGTTCACATAGAGATGTTCATGTAGAATTGAAATTTTGGTTTTCTTGATTTTTTTTTACCATGCATTTTGACATAGAAAAACTTGTCTTGTCTCAATAAAAAATATAAATAAAATTTATTGTTTTATTTTTATTATATATCAGTTAAAAATAAATTTGGTTCAAGTATAGTAATGTCTACATTAAAAGATGGATACATAAATTATTAACCGGGTGGAATGGTAATTTATTTTATATCTGCATTTTTTAATTTTGTCCCATCCTATAAATAGATAACTGCATCAAGGTTTATTGTGATTTAGTCCAATAGTTTTTTTTTTTATTAATAATCCTTTTAAAAAGGAATTTTTCAAATAAAAAATGTTTACACTTATTTTATTTTACTAAAGTTCCTCAATTTATGTAAAATTCAATATCTTATTCATTGTAAATTATTTTAAAAAATACCTAATAGCTTATAGGTGAAACTCAATCTAACATATCAACTACTGCTCGTTTCTTCTATTTTTGTCACCATAAATGTCAAAATTATAACTGTATAAGCTACTTCCACAAACAATATTTATAGCCAAATTAAACAAGCTTTCCATGTTTAAATTGCTTCAGTGAGTAATGTGGATATTACATTGACTAATAATAAAATTTTCAGTAATTTATAAATGTGACGCTCTGGATCTCATTAAATCCTCTGTAAGGTTGCTTATATAGATATGCATTGCTTAGAAGAGAGAGAGGGTAATCATTTGAGTGATATAAAAGACTACACTGAGAATGGATCTGTAGTAAAAAGTTTACAACTTCCAAACAAAATTATTATTTTGAAGACAAAGAAAATTTGTATGAACATTTACAAAAATCTGCAAAATGATCCTGAAAATCATGTGATTATGTAAAAGCAGTATCAGAGGAAAAGCGGTCTCTCTAACAGAAATTCCACCATGAGAACATGAACAGTGGTGTTAAAAAAAAACAAGATTGATGCTGGAACATCTTAATGTCGTGACTGCAGTGGCGTGCCCAGGGGGTTCGTACACTCCCAAAATATTTTAAAATTCAATAAATATGTAAAAAATAGTCCTAAAAAAAAGACAGTTTAGAGCTTTTTTAGATTTAAAGCAAACTCGGGTGATAATAATTTAAAAGTAAACATTTTAAATTGTAAAAATGCTTCATATTTTATTCCTGAAATACAAAAGGAGATATTTCAATAAGTTCATTATTCAAGAATAAATTGTTAAAAAGATAAAAGAAGCAGAATTCTTTTCAATCTTGGGCGACGAGATAATGGTATATCCCCAGTTAAACAATTATTATTGTGTATTAGATATATTGATTTTACTGGTATGAAACCATGGAGCAAAAAGGCATTGATGTAAGAAACCCAAAGTACGAGATTTTGTAGGATTTAATCATATGTATGAGTAAACTGAAAAGAAAACGTCAAAAAATATATTTTGAAAGTCTGACTAATCAAGAAACTGTTTATGATATTACCAATCAAGTAGTTAATTTTTTCAGAAACAATGCTCATGCTCAATAGGGTGTATCATAATAAATAATAATGAATTTTCGAAATTTAAACTTTCAAGTTGATAAAAAGTTGCCTCTTACATTACTCTTTCAGGGAAAAAATGTTTTGTTTTAATTAAAACATATTTAGGTCTCCCGGAATCGACTTAAACTTTAGAATTTTTTCTCAGAATCACGATTTTTTATCTTTTTTTTTATTGAAAATTAAATTTTATATTTTTATTGTGAACTTAAAAAAATATTAAGTAGGTGATAACAGTGAACAATAAACATTAGGATAATATCTGTAACTAAGCATAAAGTTACCCAGAATCTTTATGAAAATCTCAATTGTAACAAGGAAAAAATCAATATCTTCTTTATTATGATTAGGTGTTAAACCGGTTTGTTGCTTCTACTTAGGTTAGTAGGATTTTAGTATTCTATAACATAATGAACAATAAATTACATATTTACTTATTTAAACTTTACGATATTTTATGTTAAAACAATAAAAGACTGTTTTTGAGGTAGGAAATTTATTAAAGAAATACAAAAGTTTACTTAAAGATTACAGATAAAAAGTTGACAAACAAAAATCTTTAAAATGGTTCTTTATTTCATCTTAAAGGATGTTAGCTAAACAAATCCAGTTAGCCTTCAAAGCCACAAGTATTGTAATGCTTGTTCGATCTGGAACCAAGGGAATTTGTTGGGGCGATTGTCAGATTGTAATTATAGTACTAATACTAAGTTACTATTTAAAATAGAATGTTGTGATGTAATCCTAAATAAGTATGAAATAAATCGTACCTGTAATTTATTTTTGCAATACAGCTGTAGCAGATGTGTACTGTCGCTTAGTTTCAAACTTGGAAGATACTTTCTGTCCAATAATCTGGATCTTATAAAGCCTTCTCGTTGTTGAACGCCACAAACGTGCTTAGAAGCAATAACTTCCTTTACAACTCGTTCTACCGCTTGAGTGTGATGTGGTATTTTGAACTCTTTTCTATTACTGCTTCCTGAATTAACAATCATCCCAATCTCTTTGCTGAAGTCAGCTATAAGTGGTGGTTCTGTAACTGTGGTGGATTGCCAGTCAATGAGATCGATGTAGTCTTCTGCCTCAAAATTAACTTGTGGTGGTTTGAAGACTCGATGTGCCCTTGTTTCTGTCTGTCGAGCTTTTTCTATCAGTTTGCCTGCCAAAGATCTTATATGTTTTCGAGAGTCCTGCTCCTTGCGATGTTCCAGTATTCGTTGGCGTACCATCACATCCAAGCGCTTTGATATTTGAGATATCAATGGAGTTATCACTCATGTAACTTAATATTGATGATACTATATCTTTCCCAGATCCACTGTTTGGAGTTACATGACCGAAATATGCTGAATCTGGTTCCTCGACCAAAGATATGTGTTCTTCTTGTATGGTTTTACGGACAGATTTCCCACGTACAATTTCTTTGATTATGGTTTCATCCTTCGTACCATCGAAGTAAAGAGCAATTATTTCGTTTGTGCGAGTTGACTTTCTACTCCGGCGGTACTTTAACCTTTCACGAAAAATCTTGGACTTGTCAATAACTGCGGCTTGTTTTTCTGGTGATATGACATTCAAATCTTGTAGAAGAGCACTTGCTAGTTGAGCACCTGCTCTGTTTAAAATGCCTCTGCGATCACATGCCCTAGAAAACAATGACAGATTCACTGACAGGCCTTGTTTTACTTTCAAGCTTGGACTTTCAGTTTGGTTTCTTAGAGGAGTTATTTTAGAATCTTGAACTTTTTCATCAGGCCTAATTGATTGTTCTTGCATGGATTCATCATCACAGTCACTACTAAGAATATCCACATTTATTAAATCAGGTGGAGTAATTAGTTCCACATTCCTACTTAATTTAGAATGCAGGGACTTTTCCTTTCGTTTGTTTCGTTTTTCAATTTTTTTAGTCTCTGCTTGGTCAATACCTCCGATAATCATCATCCTCAAGTTCCGTTGGTCTGTCAAGCATGCATGTTCTAATTTTGGTACTTTTCTTGAACTCTTGGCATTTTTTGTATTACAACCTGACGATTTTTTTAATCTTTTCACACCTGTCATGCAATTGTAGAATCATAAAAACAATATTGTTAGTAGATGAAACAGGTATTGATGATTTTTTCCAAATTTGCTCTAACTTATGTGTCATTCTCATTGCAATTAACTGTTACTGTGGTTGGTAGAATCCTTCAGATCTCAACTGGTTTCTCACCCATTCAAAATAGCTCAGCACGTCACTTTTAGTAGGTAAAACGCAGTAAAACGTTCATATCACTAATGTCAAGAGGCTGTCCGACTATAGGAGCTTCAGTGCATTTCCTCGTTGTTATAGTGTTTGTCTTTTTACTCATGATAGGAAAACAACAAAACTACACGGAATTCACAAGTCATAAACCACACACACTAACCCAGACAGCACAAGACATCCCCTGGGACGTCCATTTTATGTCATTTTAAGGTCCAAACGTCCCGGGACTTCTTTTGGACGTCCAAAGGATATTTATAGTCGGACATACCAGGGACGTCCCATTAGGGATGTTTTCTGTGTCATTTTTTTACTTAAGTATATTTTTTACAAAATATAATATCTTCCTACTAAACTTTATTTTAAAAAGTTATATTTAGTTTTAAATACCATTAATTTATACGAAAACAGACAGAGGCCCCTGTAGAGAAAAATCCTTATCCTATAGCAGAGCAACAACATCTCTAAAATTTTGTTCTGTAGTGGAAGTGAGTGAGGTTAGAAAGAAGAATGTGGTTATGTTTTAACGACGCTTAGCTTTTTTAGTGGCTTTAGCCACAGCCACTTCGGAATCTGTTATTTCTAGAATTATAATAATTGTGATTGTAATTAGATTATTGCTTTCAATACTAGTTTATAGTTTGGTAATTTATTATTATAGACATTAAGTAGGTATATAGGAAGTTTATATGTATTTTTTGTGGTTTTGGTGTGAGTTACTACATTTGTAAAGTAAGTAAGAGTAATGTGCTTAAGAAATACTATAAATTTAAATACATAATATGTTAATATAAGTACACAATAAAAATTCCATTTATTTTTGCTTTTCATTTTATTAGTTTTTTGTAAGTTCCCTTTAGGTCCTGTATACATCCTCATTTAGGTTTTGTATTAGTTCATGTGAACGTACAATGGATGTCCCCAATACATCCTTCTTAGGTCCTATATAAGTCCGTATTAAGTTCTGCATATGTACTAAGTACGTCCCCATGAACATCCCTGGGACGTCCTTTTTGGTAACATTTAAGTCGTATTAACACGCGATGGAAAGAGCAATGCTAGGTATATCACTTAAGGACAAGAAAACAAACACATGGATAAGACAGAAAACCAAAGTCACCGATGTGGTGCAAAAAGCATTAAAGCTGAAATGGGAATACGCTGGACATGTAGCTAGGAGCGATCTAAACAAATGGCACAGATCAATTTTAACCTGGAGACCATACCAACACAAAAGACCCAGAGGCAGACCTCCTATGAGATGGACAGATGATCTGAAAAGGACTGCCGGGAAAAATTGGCTACAAGTAGCGTACAATAAAAAACAATGGAAAGGAAGACTTGAAGAGGCTTATGTTCAGATGTGGACGTGAATGGCTAGACGAAGAAGAAGAAGAAGTCGTATAACGGATGTCCGGACATTTAATGAGGTACATCCTTCGGACGTCCTTGTGCTGTCTGGGAAAATACATGTAATAACGCGCAAACCACGTGCTGTCAGATTGAACGGTGGAGTACAGGAACAAAGGGTGTGAGGTTACCTTTAAAGATGAAAAACATGAGTATTTGAAACCTCCACACTATAAACTGTAGAGTGAAGACTGGATTATGTATGTATGTAATAATTAAAAAACAATAGAAGGTTATTTATTATCAACATTAACTTTTGAAATACATAATAAATGATCATAAAATGAACAACTACCAATAATATGTTCCCCAGGTCCTTCAAACGTAGCAGATTCTTTTTTATTAAGATAACACCAATCTGCACCATAAGCAATATTTTTATGTTCATAATGACTTGCTACTATCTCTAGTTTATTACTATTAGATGTATCTACAACGTGTACCCCTCCAAGCATGCATGCTGCAAGTAATTTATCATGATTGAAAGGATCCCACTTCAGTCTCCACAGAGTTCCAGGCATTTTTAAAGATTCAATTTCTGATTTCATTCTTCTAATGTCCCAAAGGCGTATGTGTTCATCATAGCTGAAATAGAGAATAATTGTTAATAAAAATAAAAATTTTCATCGCTTGCAATGTTTTCATACAAAAACTGCATCTTTACCATCATCAGCATGTATTTTTATGTTTATGGCTTTTGGATACATTTTAGCGTCTGCTGTCGAGCCCTTCCTTAAAGAAGTACTTAAACCTCTTCCACTCTACTCCGCTAATGCTTACTCGCTAGACCTTTTTCGCTCCTTGCCAAGCTTGATTACCGTTTTCCTGTCTGCTTTTCGGTCAATAGATCTAAAGTGAAGTTCACACGGATATATTGTTAGGGAGAATAAACGTACAGGGTTGTGCCTTCGCCTGCTGTTGATTGCTCACTCGAGGACGTAGAACAGGACTGACTTGGATAAAATGCATCTCCCGGCAGAACGAGTATAATATTTTATATTATGCATATAGTAGAATAAAAAAGCATTGTAAAAGTTGTAATTATTGGATACTCCACGAAATAGCTTGGAAAGTGTAGCTACCGGTACAGCACAGTAACAAAATTGTAGAAAGTGACTAATAGTTTCAATGAAGACCTTTGCGGTTTTGAAGGGACTGAAATCGACGAGTAAAAGGCGTGCGGTTTTTATTAAAAAAATAATCAAGATTTTAGAACCAATTGATTGTCATAAAAATTATTTTCTTATTTTATAGATGCCTTAGATGAAGAAAACCTGTTAAATATATTTTTTGGGAAAAGCCCTTTATTCGTTTAATAAACTTATGACTGATTTAAGGATTAAATTTAATTCTTATTGTCAAATGAGATTGAATGACATGAGATTAGAAAAGGGTCGTCTAGTAACTTTTAGCACAGGTAAAACTGAAAGTACTTAAACAATTCTTGGTACGAAACAGTACTAATAATAGATGGGTTACCTTAACTGAATATTTACTTCCATAAAATATAAAAAATATGTTCAAATAAAAACTAATAGTATCTCCGCTTAGATCCACAACTACTGATTCCATGGTAATTTCAATGAAGTTATCAAGGTTACACATATTCTGGCTCTTCTTCCACTAGATGCTTGATACATTTTATTCACAACTGTAAGATCACATTGCTGAAGGCACTATTAAGCAGATTTTTACATAATTGAATTTGAAAGTAACATTGTTCCTTGCTACTTCATTATTATTTAAACCCACATAATATGTTCCATCGGGTTTAACTCACAATGGTATGGCGGCAATCGAACTAGAATTACGCCTCGTTCTCGCGCCATTTCATTTACTATATATTTAATATACAGAGTGGCCCAAAAGTCTGGAAACGGCTAATTATCTCGTAAAATGCTAATCATAATTGTACAAAATTTAAGGTACACCTATTTTGGGACACGGAGATTCCATATTTGATATTTACAATGTTGCCATATTTGCCGTTTTTCTTATATTATTAGTAACTTTGGTTTTTCAAATACATCACCCTGTATATTCAGTCATTATTCACGAGTTATTATATATATTCACGAGAGTATTATACGAGTTCAACCATATGTAACACTTATGATTTTATACAATCTGGAAGGTCATAAATACATAAAACGGAAGTCTGGCAACGCCTAAATTGTTTCAATAAATTTTTTAATACTAACTATTTTCAAATACATTAACACGTAACAATTGATAGTTAAGAACACTTTTTAACATAGTAGTTACGTTATTAAGTGTTCAAAATGTGCTCAATTTGTGAGTTGACAGCACCCTAATCGATGGTAGAAGGCGTCTACCACATTTCTCCATGATTGTCTAGAAATTATTCGAGATTCATTGATAATTCGTTGCCTTAGCTCTGCAAGACTTGCTGGTTAAGTTTTGTAAACTGAATTTTTCAAGTATCCCCAATAAAAATAATCTTTAGGATTGAAATCGGGTGAACGTGGAGGCCATTCAATTCTACCTTGTCTACCAATTTATCGTCCAGGAAATATCTCATCTAAATATCGCCGAACATTTACACCATCTATCTGACGTTAAATTTCTTTCGACAAAAACTGACCCATTTGAGTAAGTAACTACTACATCTGACCATACATTTAATTTTTGTGGTCTTTGAGTATGGTTTTCACGCATTCAGTCTTCAGTGTGAATTTACGTCACACCAGTACCTCAAATTGTTCGATTTACACTTCCACACAGTGTAAAAGTTGCTTCATCGGAAAAACATATTCTGTTAACGAGATTTTAGTAATTTTCAATTTTATCCATCATTACCTCAGTAAACTCTAATCTACGACCAAAGTCATCTTCACTTAATTCTTGCAATAAGTTAATTTTGTATGATTTAAATTTATTTTTATGTAATAAACGTAAGACTGAAGAATGACCTACATAATTTACTTGTGCAACCCTGCCTGGAAATGTATGTGGATCTTCAACAAAACTTTGCTTATATCTAAAGTTTTGTTTTCATTGATAACTCGTTTCGGTCAACCTGATCGGTATTTATCTTTTACTTCTCCAGATTCCTCAAATCGTCTTACAGTTTTTTGTACCGTCGTCTTATGAATAGGAGAACGGTTTAGAGAAGCGCATTTTAGAGAAGCAATTTAAATTGCAGAACTTTTTGAACCACAACTACTGTCAATTTTAGTTCATAATTTAAATGGTGAACAAATGTCAAAATCACAGCATTCTCCATTTAAATATTTAAATTTATTAAAATTTACATATTTTGCACTGTTTTATGTATTTAAGATCTTTCAGACTACATAAAATCAAGTGAACATATGGTTGAACTCGTATTGAATAGCTGAACTCGTGTGAAATTCACACAATGCGTGAAAACCATACTCAAAGACCACAAAAATGTATGGTCAGTTATAGTAGGTACTTATTTAATTGGGTCATTTTTTATCGAAAGAAATTTAACGTCAAATAGTTGGTGTAAATGTTCGGCGTTATTTAGATGAGATATTTCCCGGACGATAAATTGGTAGACAAGGTAGAATTGAATTGCCTCCACGTTCACCCGATCTCAATCCTAAAGATTATTTTTATTAGAGATACTTGAAAAATTCAGTTTACAAAACTTAACCAGCAAGTCTTTCATAGCTAAAGCAATGAATTATCGATGAATCTCGAATAATTTCTAGACAATCATGGAGAAATGTGGTAGACGCATTCTACCATCGATTAGAGTGCTGTCAACTCACAAATGGAGCACATTTTGAACACTTAATAACGTAACTATTATGTTAAAAAAATTCTAAACTATCAATTGTTACGTTTTAATGTATTTGAAAATAGTTAGTATTAAAAAATGTATTGAAACAATTTAGGCGTTGCCAGACTTCTGTTTTATGTATTTAAGACCTTACAGACTACATAAAAGAATAAGTGTTACATATGGTTGAACTCGTATTTAATAGGGGATCCAATAATGACTGAATATACGGGGTGATGCATTTGAAAAACCAAAGTTACTAGTAATATAAGAGAAACTGAAAATCTGGCAATATTGCAAATACCAAATATGGAGTCTCCGTATCAAAAAATAGGCGTATCTCAAATTTTGTATAATTATGTCTAGTAATTTACGAGATAATTAGCCGTTTCCAGACTTTTGGGCCACTCTGTATTTATCTTATTGACACTGTGCTAAGTTTAGTAACTCGATTTTCAAAATCCCGGGCCGTTGTTCTACGGTTAGTTCAACAGGTTTTTCTCTTAATTCACGAACTCACCTTCCACTTGCAATAATATATTCTTTAGAAGAATTTGAATGAAAAGAAGTGACTCCTGCTTCATGGCTTCTATTTTTTGATACTGGCTCTGATCCTAGTCTTCTATCATATTTTAAAAACATACTATCATCTCCTCCTACAATAAAAGTAAATAAAAATAAGTAAACGATTTCACAATATCGGCAAAGCGTATGAATCTGTAGACAAAAAACAAGTACATGCAAGGAAAATGGGTTCGGCTTGTGGTGAAAAATGCAGGGTAAACTGTCGTTTACTAATAAACGAGACATCGGGACAAGACATTTTTGATAAGTATTGGAGTTTGGGAGACTTACAAAAATAAAGAGAATTCATTATTAGACATACTATAGAAATTAAACCAAAATATAGACATTCTTCAACACAAAATTTTCGTAAACTAAACACTGGATTTAATTTTATAGTAAACAACGATCACATTAGAGTTTTTCAAAACATATTTGAATACTTTTGCTATAAACGATCGACCCATTGCTACAGATCTATAAAAACAGAGTGTGGTTTAATACAAGATGAATCACGCGGGAAACATGGCAAACAACCAACGTACTGTGGAACCGGAGATCTATGAAGATAGATCAAAATAAGAAAAGATACTTAAAAGAATTACTCTTCTAAAATATAATACCCAACTCTCGAATCTTACTTTATGGTGCCGAGTCCTGGACTGTGAATAAAATCGATCTAAATCGCCTTTTGAGGATTTCGAAATGTGGTGCTATAGAAGAATTTTAAAAGTTTCCTGGGTGGAGAAAATTCGAAACTCCACAATACTATAACGTCTCAGCATGACTACTGAGATCATAAAAAGCATGAAGCACAGAAAGCTGGAGCATTTCGGACATGTAATGAGAGATCCCAAATATAGGTTGCTACAAAATATCATGCAAGGAAAAATAGCAGGCAAACGTAGTCCAGGACGAAGAACCTCATGTTTGAAGAACTTGCGACATTGATATGGTGTTGATACAAACATGCTATTTAGGGTGGCAGTGAAAAAAATTAAGATAGCTATGATGGTAACCAACGTTCTGAAAGGACATGGTACATGAAGAACAAGAACTTTTGAAACTTAGTATAGGGATTTAACTTGATTACAAATTAATAAACAGTACTATTATTTAATTGTGATCTGTATACATACTTTGATTTTCAGACTGATTAAAACTGGATTCAAGCGTTAAGTTACCACTATTTACTGTGCAATTACCTATAGTAAATAAGTATAATATTAAATATGACTGGATTTTTTGTTCTATTTTTGCAAAGTTTATTTCGTTAAATGCAGATTAAATACAAAATGTTTCAGGACACTGTACTTTGTTATCCCTATCTGTGTTTGCAATAACTGTTTTTGTTGTGGTTTATTTAATTTAAAAATGCTCTAACTCGTTAAGTATAGACAAGCATTGTACTTTTTGTTCAATTTAATTTGAATTAGAATCGTAATTAAAAACAATCTTGAGTTATTTATTAATATCAAAAACAGCAATTCTCGGTAATTGTTAAAGTGTAATACAATCTCTTTAGATCCAATGTTAACAAATACCGAGAATCAGTTACCAAAATTGTTGTAAGTCCAAAAACTGAAGTAAACCGCAGAAAAAACAGTAAAGCAAATTGTAATAACACAAAATATTTCATAAATAAAGTCATAACTAAAAATATTTCATTTCGGACATTTTGTTTAAAGCAATACAGTTACAACTCAAAATTCTTAAATAAGTTCACTGTCAGTATTTTTATTTAACTAAGAGTACAAAGAAACTTCTTTTAATATTAATTATAAACACATTATGCATAATTTTTTTTACCTGCAATAGGAAATGATTAATGAATTTTTCGTTAATTCTGAAAAATCATCTTTTTTGAGTTACGACACTATTGTATTATTAGTGCGATATTTGAGTAATCTCAAGTTAATAACGAATATGGAAGTGGCATTACAAAATGATATATCGAGAGAAGTTTGTTTAAAGGTACTAAGTATTAGACATTGGGCATGGGATAATTCCTCTTAACTATTCTACTGGCCTTATTTTGTTTCCACCAAATTTTTGTCAATTCACAAGTCAAAAGAATAATTTCGAAGGTGTTTCCAAGTATTGGTGCAAATTACAAACACCATGTTTGGTTATGCGAACGACCCATTTTAGCAGTAAAATTAATAACAGAGATGATTTAGGTATAAAAATTCAAAGTCAAATTAATGGACAAATACACTCATTTAAATCGATCCATTCCATCACTGATCCAAATGATGTCATCAATTATCCAACTGAATTCCTAAATTCATTGGATCTACAAAGATTATCGCCACACAATTTACAGCTTAAGGTTGGATCGATGATAATCATTCTAAGAAATCTAAATCTATGAAAATCTGAATCTGGAGACTAGCTGTCAAATGACTTCTCAGAGTCCACGAAACAGATATGCCGGTTTGTTGTATTCTAATGATTTCTCTTGCAATTGCCTCATTATAAATATAGCGTCGGTGCATGATCTTTCCGACCTAAAATCGTGCTGTTCTTCTGCTAGTGTTATAATTTCATTTAGTTTATTTGTTATCACATTGGTGTTAATTTAAGTGTTTAATAAATTACTTCCTTCGTAATTTTCCGAGTCCGATTTGTCTCCCTTAGAGGTATTAGAATACTTGATTTCCATTCTTGAGGAATTCTGTTTTGTTCTATTATTTTTTGGATTAGTTTTAATAATTGTTTGGTTAGATCTGATCCTCCGTGTGTCGTAGAAGTCGTGTTCCATTTGTTTTGAGAAGCGCTGCCAGTGTTCCATTTTTATTTTATTTAACTAAAGTATTCGTTTCATTTCTGACCCGATTATAGTGGTTGTATGCCTGTTGTGTTCTTTATTGTAATAAGGCTTTCTTCTTTTCTTCACATTTTGTCTTCAGTTCCTCTCTAAACCATAGGGATTTCTTTTCGGATATGTTAGTGTATGTTACTTTTCTCTCTCCAAGTGATTCTGTTGCTGCGTTAATTATATTATTTTTGAGTATTTCCCAGCTTTCCTCGATGTTATCGTTTTTTAATATTTCATTCCCAGCAGTCTTCTCTGATTTTCTTTTTCTGTATAAGTATCATGTGGATTCCGTATTTAGTGTTTCGACTCTGATTTTTGTTTGTGTTGTCGCCGCTTTCTTAAACGTGAAGTATTTCAAAATGATTATTATTTTACATAATACTAGGCTATAGTCGCTAACTGCATCTGCTGAGTTGAGACATGTTAAATCGATTATTTGTGATGGATGTATATAGAGGATAAGATAAGAAGGTAGACGAAAACCAGGACGTAGACAGTGCTCCTGGGTCAAGAATAAATGAGAATGCGCAGGCTTAGGCTCAAACAATTTGCTGAGGAGGACCCAAGACAGAGGAAAATTTGCCAAAATTGTTGCCGATTTTCGATAGAAGGGATTCGAAGAACCCAATAAGGAACTTACTTGCGATAAACTGCAGGCTGTGCATTATAGCATTAAAAGGATGACAGCAAACAAAGACGGAATTCAAAAGCAATTCTGTAACGAGATAAAATCAGTATACTACCCTTGTCACAAGAACGACATTAAAATTATTTATGGAGAGCTCGTATCAAAGCTTGGTGAACAGTAATACTAACTTACTATAACCGACAGAATATCTAACAACAATGGTAATACCTGAAATAAAATTAAAATATAACAAAGAGAAAAAACAAAGCAACAAAGTTATAGAACATGGAGTATAGAAGAAGACTTTAGATGGCCAAGGAATGAGTAGAAAATATACAAAAGACAAAAGAGAGGATTGATGACATAAAGTTTCGACAGGTAGAGGCTATCGATAAGTCAGTGGAAGATAGAAAATTCTACCTAAAACTGAGTAAAAGATAAAAGGAATTTAGGCCTAGATCAAGAATGTACAAAGAATACGATCAGACACACTGACATCACAAAGAAATATCTTTAAAAAGATGATTCGAATTATTTTAAAGTTTCAACAAGAAGTTAATCAGTTACATGAGGATGAAATAATACTGGGTCAAACACACAACGCAGAAAGGAATTCCCCTCAATAGAGAAGAGAAAAGCAGCAGCCAATAGCTGCAAAGCTCAAGACCATAATATGGCCAAAAGAATCTTTTGGTCATATCTATTTAATAAAAAGTTCGATCGCTGTGATGAGTTGAAAAATCAGCACCCTAGAGTTGGTAAAGTGCTGCGTTTAGAAGATAATTGTTACTGTTGTGTTATTTTACATGTTGACCAAACGGTTTTCTACGAGAGGGCAAAGCTAAGCCTCTGCTTCCAAGACTTATATAGAGCTGAAAACACCTTTCGCTTTCGCTTTTCGCTTTTTCAATAAATTCTGATCGGCATCGTCAGAGCAAAAAAGGGGGCAGTGTAACGGCAGCCAAGAACAGGTGCCGAATACCGGAGACATTTCAACCCTTCACTAGAACGCTCTCGAATATTTTTGAATACTAGATTAGTCTGAAAATATATTGTAAGGAGTAATTGTATGAGTAAAACAGTTGTAAACTAAGTGTGTGTCCAAGTTCATAGTCGGAATAGTACTTATCAGATTTGAGAAAAGAGTGATGGACAGGAAAAGAGAGATGGACATAATATGTAGCACGATCAAAACATCTCCTCTTTGGTGGGATCTGGTCGTTGACGATAGATAGACTCAGCAACGACAGACATCATGTCCTAGGCTATGCGGATGACTGGGTCATCTTATCCCACGGCAAATTTCATGGAACAGTCAGAAATAGAATACAATAGGTTCCGATTGAAGTTACAGAATGGACTTCAAATGTAGGGCTGAACGTCCAAACTCATTTTCATTCTCCTTTCATTGGGAGGAATTAACAGATTAGGTCTAAACCGGAAGGAAACGTTAGAAGAACATAAACGTTTTAATTAAAGTTTATTTATATCTACGAAGAAATTTACAAAAACGTATTCAGACCAATAATTCCATATGCGACAGAAACACGATCTGACACAGAGAGGACAAAAAGGATGTTAGAAACAGCAGATATGTAAACACTGAGAAAAATTGATGGCAAAACACTACGGGACAGAGCTAG